AGGAACGCCACTCGTCACCGATGATCTGGGAAGATCCATCCCCAGTTAACTCCACATCAAAAGCTGCACCAACTTTGACAGTTTAAAGAACTTCAGGCTTTGACACCGGTTTGCTTCTCCACGGGTGTGCCTGAGCTGCCCGCTGCCGTTACATCCAGCCCAGGTCTGAATAAACTGCTGCACGTGGGTTTCACGTCACCGTGCCTGGTGGCAAAGCGATAGCGTTTGGAAACAGCCAGGTATGTGCGTGGTGCCACGTCATGCAGTGCAGGCAGAGCCCTGTGGTCACCCTATGGCTTGTGGGAGGTCGAGCAGCATCCCGCACCGGCTCCTTTTGTTCCCAGTTAAAGGTTGTCTTGAGCGAATGGCTGGTAGCAAACGTGATCTGAGCTGACCTAGGGAAGCTTATCTCCCCAGGCTTCTTCAGGAAATGGGGAGGCTCCTTGAGAAGAGGTTGAGTGACTCAGAGCAGGCACTAGATTTCAGGTGTTCCGAGTTGACCCTCTGACGGTGCAATTCTCTCCCATAGTCCAGGAAGACTCATTTCCCCAGTTCCTGACACAGATTGTGCTTTCACTCATCTGTTTCTCACCATCTTGGTGTAATATGCAGGGGGAAGCCCTGCTCTCGGTACCAGGTCTCCAGATACTGCTGTGACATGAAAACACTTTTATGAGATAGATTTTAATCATGATACTGGGAGTCTTCACACTATCTGTGATCCGAGAGGAGTTAAAATGTTGTGCTCCGGAGCCTGGCACAGTCTGCCTGTGTATCAACCACCGCGTTTCTGTCCTTGCAGATTGAATGCCATCCGTACCTGACCCAGGAAAAGCTGATCAAGTACTGTCAATCCAAAGGGATTGCTGTGACGGCGTACAGCCCCCTTGGCTCTCCCAACCGCCCGTGGTAAGGCAGCACTGCAGCCTTTCTGTACACACAAAAATGCATTTGCAGCTTGAATCTTTGGGGCAAATGATGCACATAATGCAGGTATGACGAGAAAAGTGTTGTTGCTTCCTTGCAGATTATTTCACACACAATGCCAGGCTTCCTGCAGGGAAGCTAATAACTTTCTACCATCGATGTCCTGGCTTGTGTTTTTAATAGGGCCAAGCCAGGGGAACCCGTGCTGCTGGATGATCCCAAGATTAAAGAGATTGCAGTTAGACATCATAAAACCCCTGCCCAGGTGAGTGGGGTTCTCAGGGAAAACTATTTCTCCTCCTCAGACGTTTTTACAGGCTGATGGCCAGTCTTAGCAGATCCTGCCTTCCCTAGAGATATAGTATGTTGGGGCTGAACTGCACTTCACTCATACTGCCCCAGTTCTTACTAGCATTCATAGCAATTATCAACTATTTTCTACAAGGTCTGGAGTGCTGAGTTTTGGGAAGGGCTGATGAGCAGTGGTACAGGCTTACCTCGGGTGTTCCCATTCCTGGGAGATTTCTTCTGCTCCCAGAGGGAAGTGCTTCCTCCCCGAGAACGCCTTTTCTCAGGTTAACTTACAAATCACCAAACCAACTTCTTACTCCTTTCTCTCGTTGTTAGCTGTTATTTGTCAGAGAAGCCCTGTAATTTGCAGACCTATTTGATTGCTCCCTGTTTGTTCCTGTTCACAAAAGAATCATTGAAAGCTGCTTGATTATTCAAAATGAAATTTTTCCTCTATTAGTTGCTGGTCACGTGAATGAGTTCTCGCCCAGAGCGTGCAGAAACTGCACTTCAAACCAGCCCACACGTTCACAAGCACTCCACCACAGTCATATTCTGAGTGAGGCAGAGCAGGACCATAAATTGTACGCAGCAATCCTCTTTCAAGGGGGAAACTTTTAAAGCCTGTAAATATGTTTTTCCTTTTAAGGATTTTAAAAAGCTTAACTTAGGTGAGGTACTTACCTGTGAGCCCAAAACAGTCTGCAGCGTCACTGTGCTCACTTGGACGGAGCACCTATATAACACAAGCCAAAAGCAGCATCATTCTTCTCCCCACTGCCCTCCTACCCTGAATGAAAACAAAATAAACCCTGGAAGAGATGGGATGTAGAAACAATGTAGGCCAGAAGCAATTGTTGTTTGTCAGAGTGCAAGGAAATGCTGGCACATCAAACTCCTCTGTGCAGGCTGGTGCAGCCTTCCAAAGAGGGAACAAGGTTGTAGAAAGAGAAATTGGTTTGTGCATTTAAAAAAAAAAAAAAAAAAAAAAGGTAAGAGGACACAAAATGCATTTGAACAGATTTCTTGGTACCCCTGTCTTCATGCTCCTCCTTGCCCTTTCCTAGGTTCTGATCCGGTTTCTTGTCCAAAGAGACGTGATTGTCATTCCGAAGTCTGACAAACCACAGCGTATTGAGGAAAACATGAAGGTGAAGTTTCCATTGGTCCTGTTGCCCCCTTTTTACGCAGGTTACATGCTTGCACCTCCTCTGCGCTTCCAAGCAGCACCTAAGAGGCATTAGAGGAGCGCGGAGATGGAAAGACTGGGGCTCAGTGCTACCTAACCATCCACACCGCTTCTCTGGGGAGAAGCATTTTGTACCTGCCAGGAGAGAAATGGGTTACACCGGGGCAGTCCAAGCTCTGCTGTCTTGGAAAGGGAAGCTCAGTGTTGGACTTGCCCTCTGGGAAATGGTTACTGAGCCTCTCTGTGGGGTATAAGGGAACGAATTGTAAACGCCAGACCCGTTATGATTCACGTCTCGCTCCGAGACCGCTTCCCTTTGGAAGAGGGGTTCAGCTGGATGGTTGCTCATGAGGCCTGGCGTCTTAGATGGCATCTCTGTGTTACTTTCAATTCATGCAGCTACATTTTGGGCTTATTTCTCCTATGAGCCACTAGCAAGAATTCTTAAATTATTAACTGTAAGGCAACTATTATCAGTTGTGTACTGTGTACCCAGTAGTGCTCTGCTGTAGCAGAAATATTTATTGCCAGTTCCAGTATTTGGGACACATCGAGTAATCCATCCTTAGCACCCTAAGTTTTCTGTCTGTGCGTTACAAGACAGACGGCAGCGATGTTTGCGTTCAGCCACCCAGAGCTGCAAGACGTTGCTGTGAACAGCACTCAGAGGGAAAAGGACTAGTAGTTTGATTACTTCACGGATGAACTGGTATTTGGCTGAGAAATAAAAGGATTTCTTAACTATGCTTAGTGTGGGTGCGGTATGTTCCTACCTCAAGGCATAACTACACGAAGCACACCTAGTAGCTAAATACTCATTAACCTAAGTAAAAAAATGTCTTTCTGTTTTTTTCCCTGCTAGGTGTTTGACTTTGAATTGTCTAAAAAGGAGATGGACAGCATCCTCAGCTTTAACAGGAACTGGAGGGCAGTTCCAGTGCTCCCGTATGTTCCCTTATTATCCTTACTATCCACTAGGCCTTTCTCTATCTGTGTTTTCCTTCCCCACCATCTTGAAAACATACATGACCAAAACCAGAGAGAGCTCCTATCTTAAGCCCTGGACCCCAGGGAACGAGACATCTCCTGGAACAGACCCCAGGAGGGAGATTCATTCCAGACACTGACTTCACAACTTGGTGTTGCATGTGCTTGTTCGCCAGAATGGTCAAAATAATGACAGCAGCAAAACTTGAACCTATTGGCAGTGGGGGAGGGAGACTGCAGTAGGAAAATGCTTCTGAAGCTACTTTCTACCATGCTTAAATAATCGGTTCTTTCTCTTCTCAGAGCTGTCAATCACAAGGACTACCCATTCAAGGCAGAATATTAATGCCAGTGGTTTCTGCGAGACCTCTGTGTAACTCCTTCCAGATTAGAAGATGTACTCTGAAGCTTGGTCTTGGTTTATTCTTCTGTACTTGATGATCATTGAGATCAGTTACCTGTCCTCCTTGTTAGGAGGAGACCACTAGTTGGTATAAGGATGCACCAACAGAGCTGAGTCTTCTGTAAAGATGGTTAGCAGAAATCTGGTTTTGATTAATAGTAAAAAGGCAACGTCTCTTCATTTCCTTTTTTCCTTGTCGTCCTTAATTAAAGACATGTTTAACAAAAAACTCTGGTTACTTACATGATTTTTTTAATGTTATTTCCAGTGTAGTCAGTCATACTGGCTCACGAGTGGCTGTCAAGGAATGTATTCTTTGATTACTTTGCTTTTTACATAGTTGTGATTTTTAGAGTGCAAATCTCTCTAATGATTGAAAATTGTATATGAATAAAGTTTGAATAACAAAGAAACTTCAGCAGTGGAGTGCTTGTATTGGCTCATACAATTAGTTGTAACAACAGGCCTGCGGTCTGGGGTTTTTTTAAATTTTAATACAGATCAAAATGAGCTTCTATAATTCCTGTACAAGAGCAATACACAGAGACTACTTCGCGGCTTATGCATCTAGCTAGAACCCAAAAAACTGAGTTGTACCTATTACTTCTGTAACCCTCCCTCCAAACACCTTGAAACTGGACTCTTGTGTGATTAGTGGTGAAAAGTTGAAGACAGCATCACATGCAGTGATTACACACATCAGGATAAACCCAGCAAGAGGTAAGGGCTACCTGCACCACCAGGCTGCCTGGCCCTGGAAGTCTCAAAACACAGAATTAGACCTGTGCACCTCTGCTGGCAGCATTCGGAACAATATATCCGGACAAGGGTTGGCTTCATCTAAGGAAAACATAGTAAAACTTTTCCTTAAAAACACCAAATCAGACCCTGAAGTAGACTCACGATTGCTTTAAAGCATTTACAGGTAAATAATGCTGGGCCAAAGCAAAGGCAGGCTGAAAAAGGCTGGGGTTTGGCATTCTGCACGATGATGAGGAAGTCTAGCTAGGGTGCTGAGTGAGCTGCAGGAAAGCATGATCAGAAACTGAGGTGACAATTTGGCATTGTCTGAAAAATCATCACCTCTGGATGCTATTGGAGAACAAAAAAAACCTTGTAGTGCTGCTGCCTCAGCCACCGGCATTTGGCTAATTCTGCCGGGAGAGGTGGTGCCGGCTGCTGGGAACAAACCACGACCACACCACGTCAGCACTTCCTAGAAGTAAAACTGACTGCGCCCAGCACGCTGCCACGCTCTCAGAAAAGGCAATAACCAGGGCCAAAAGAAACTTCCCTACATCAACAAGGAAGAGTCCCTTTTCACAGCTTGCGGAGTAACGCAGCTGGGCAGTACGAGGCCGGAGAACAGGCCCGCTTGCCAGCATCCAAGCTCTTTTCAGGTTAAATTAGGCAGCATCTCATTATTTCTCCCCCAGTAGTTCAGAAAGAGTAGCTGGCAGCAGCCTGGGGCACCTCTTTCCACGGTTCTGTGCCGTGCTGCCATTAGAGCAAAAACAAAGGGCACGGGAGGAAACAGGAGAGCCAGCGGCTCCCCAGGCTTGGTCCCTGCGATGATCCCGGCCTGGAAGCACATCCCACCGAGGCAGATGGAAGAAACACGACGGCTGTCACACAGGAAACATTTTTCAAAGCAGAGAAGCAGACGGCTGTGCCGCTGGGTCAGAACCCACCTCGCTGGGCACGCTGTCTCCTGGATAACGCACAGCTCCCACCTTGTGCTGATAGGCACAACAATCACGATTCCCCCCCCCCCCACCTTACAACTACGTAGGGAAAGCTGCTGATTTTACGACCTGGCTGTCTGCTGCAGGACAGTATGTCAGGAGAGACATGCTTTGAGGTTCTTTGCAATGATACCTCACCTTACACCACCTTAGCACAACTCCTATCCCAGTCAGAGCTGGCTCATTCCTACTCATTAACAAACAGGGGGCTGCTGATGGAAATATTCCATTTATTGTGGATGCAGTTTCAGGATACATTGTTTGAACAAATCATTTTTATTGCAGCTATCGGATGGATTTGAAAGACTGAGGAGTGTTTATAAAATCCCCCAAACAAAAAAAACCCCATGACAACTCACGGACAATGTCAGGCACAGTTTCACCCCCTACAGATAACTACGTGCACCTCTATATGTAAACAAACAAGATGTTTCAGCCAAGCAGGGGAGCTCATCTTTGGGTTGAAACATAACCTTATTCTTTAGGAAGAAGTAAGATGCTGTAGGAGGTGGGAGTGGTGCAAAGGGAGATGCTGGTACTTCCGATGCATAACAAAGCTGTTAACGACGTTCTCGGGGGCTACTTCCCTTGCTCAGTTTATGCCACCCATACAGTGCAGGATGTAAATGCTAAACCATATGGCATGTAAATTCAAACCAAGCTGACGTCTTGGAGCCATGTGTTTACTATATACAAATGAAAACATCTGCAAATAAGATACTCGGGACAGAGAGTTAAAAAGAAGCCCTATAAAGACAGAGGTTTACTGCATTTTGGGTGGACTTGGTGTACGGCACCGATGGATGGCAAGACTTAGTGTACAGTCATTTGAAAGAAGCTCCAACTGTGTTTAGGGTTTTTTACTTTTTAATTATGGTAGTTTTATATAAATTAAACTACAATGCTTTATACAAGTGACCTATTTTTGACCCTCTATACCCTTACCTTTTCCTCTTTTAAAAACTATACTTTCTTTTTAATTACCCATTACTGGGCAACTGACATTTAAATTTTTTTAATACTTATCTCACCATACCGCTAATGGCAATTCTGAAATCTTACTATAGAAAAGTGTGTGATTTTGGTTTTATTTTTTTAAGCTGTGATATTGGCTAATTATGTATGTTTATTACTAAATATAATACTCTAGCACGTATTAAAGCATTCTACCATTAGTAGTGCCTGTAGGCTAAACTTTGTAAAGCTATGTGTGTATATATTCTAAATTGCATTCAATTACTAGTCACTAACAACAAAAGGAAATACCAGTACCGCTGTCAGCTACATAATCATCCAAATTTAGGTATTAACTTAAACTAGAATGGAAAAATTGATACTTAAAAAAAGTATAAAACAAAAAAAACCTTAAAACACGTTATTGATGCAGTATTTTTCATGACATGGGCAACTTACAGAAAATATTACATTGTCAACTAAAGATATTTCTTCCATGCCTTAGTCTAAAGTGCAGAAAGAAAGACTTCTGTATTCCAAAAGCAACCGTTGTTTTTATAGGTTTACTGCACACCCTTCTTAAGCAACTTCACTTTACACGCATTTTGGGTCGACCTCTTACGCCAGTTGAAATCACCATTCAGGTACATAGTGAGTTATGCCTATCAGTAGGAGAGTCTATATATACTTCACAGCACGGGTTTCTTTAGGAATAAAGGCTCTTGTGCAAAGGCAGTACTATTATGTTGAATGTCTAGACTGATTATTAAATACAGTGCTAATATACATGGTTTTAACTGGGATAATGCAAAAAGACATTTTGGTAAATAAACATAAATATAAAAAGAACAATTTAGCACTTTTTCCTTTTTTTTTTTTCCCCAAATGATTGGTCCAGCGTCGTTAGTAACCTTCTACGGTTCTTTCTCAAATTGTCTCAAACCTGCTGAGAAAAAGAGAGATTAAAGATGGCTTGAAATAACCTGAATGCACATCTAAAATAGACAGGGCATGGCTCTAGATGAACACAGAGCACGTAAGAAGGCTGGATGCTGCTCTGCCCGCCTGCTGACATCACTCAGAGCGGTACCCAAAAGGATGGGCAGGATTTCAGCACAAGACCTCGCTCACCTCTGACAGCCCTGGGAAGCAGTTCAAGGAGAGCTCAAGAGTTTCCCACCTAGAAAGGCGAGGGGTGCGGCACACCGTGCTCTCCTGCCTCACCTCTCCCAGCCGTGCGTGGGCAGCTGCCCGGCTGCGGAACACGCATTCCGAGTCCACGGCCAGACTGACAGCCAGCTGCTGAGAGCCTCCTCCTGCAACCCTGCTGCTGAAGCCCTCACCTCACTCAGCTTTAGAGAAGCAGCTCAGCAGTGTTGCTTCTGGGGGCAATGAGCATGACCCCTAACACCTTCCATGGGAACCGAGCTGTGCTAACGCTGAGTGAGCCTGAAAACCTCTCTTCTAACAGCTTGGTTTAAAAATTAAGAGGGAGGGGAAGGTTATTTGATTTTGCATAACCTTACACTGCTAATTCTACAGGCATACCATAGCTCTGGCTTCACATGCAAGTGTGAAGAAGAATGTGTACACATATTAATGTGTAGAAAACCCGAAGTTTTTCCATATTTGAGCATTTCAGTCCTAGTGAAGAGTCAAGGGATGTTGCAAGTCATCTTAAAGCTATTAAATTGATCAATGAATTTCCATTTTTCCCCGCCGGTCCTTAGGCACATAATACCTTTAATTGGTTTTATTGGAAGAGTTTTAGATTGAAATAAAAATTTAAAAACCTAGGAGGGTAATTCTGTTGATTTCCTTCTGTACAACAGGGATGTGTTTCCCAAACTAGTAGTTTCAAAATGACAGAAGTAATTTTCTCTTTGCCTTGAGAAGACACCGATGCACAGCTCCAGCAGTGCTGCTGCTGCGTGCGTTTGTACTCGAGTCCAGTCCGGGTATGGAGGACCACATGAGCCCCACAGAGGAATTATCTTTAAAAATCAACACTGCTGAATTTTTGTCAGGCTCCACCATTACCCAGGGACAATGTTTAAAATCAGATGTGTAACTCATTCTCAGTAGTACTGAAACCCTCAAATAATGTTGCTGCAACAGCATTGGGTTTTGGGTTCCCCCTCTCTGCTAATGAAAGGCATAGCCATTGCTGCTGCAGCCTTTAGAAGAGCCTTTCCCAGATGCCTTGCATATGCTGTAATTAGTTAAATGACCATCCCATTCCTCAGTTTAATGATACTCCCCAGCTACAGCAAACATGCTACGTGTGTCACTTGAAGAAAGCTTTGCAAACATGGCTGGAGCATGGCTAGTCCTAGAAAGATGATTTAGGTGTATTAGACATTCATGTTTTGATGATACTGCAGGGAATCTTTTGAAAGGCAAAAGCAAAAAGAGTTTTGTTTTCCATCAACACTAACAGCTGTAGAATTTTAAAATACAGATATGCCCATGGGAAAATGTAGCAAAGTTTCTATTTAATAAGCAGGTGCATATTAGAATGACTTACCATTAGTCTCTGATTTTTTCCCAATAGCTGATACCTGTTTGAAAAAGTAATAACCGATTATTAAAGTTGAATATGGGCAAACGCAGCTATTTATAACAGGAAAAACAATCAGCTCCACTCAAAGGACAGATTTCCATGCACAACACAGCTCTGCCAAACAGGAATGTACAAGTTACATGCTGCCCATGGCTTTCTGCCCCTCATTGTACTGTTCTTTTATGGATAAAAAGGCAGGTTAGTAACAAAAGACATGTAGAGGCCTAATTCCAAGTGACTGACCGTATGAAGGCGAACGGCACCTTCCCCCTAGACAGCCTCCCACAGAGATATTACCCTTTTAACAATGCACTGAGGTATTACCTTAGAAGAAGAAGCTGGCTTTTCAACTGACTGCTTCTCCCAGAGATTACGTTTGCCAGATACGTCTCCTGGTCTTAAATCCTGTATTTTAAAATTAATGTCAGAAGACAGAAAACAACATTAGTTTAGGTTTGTCTTAATGATTTTTTTTTTTTTTAAATTTAAATGCAATTTCATTCATAAGAAAAGTTGAGGATCATCCACCAGTGGTAAATATTGCATTGCCTATTCAAGATGACACTTCATATAATCACTCCATATATATACATGATTTATGGCAAAAACCCAATCCTGCTGCACCTATTTAGTATTGCACAGACTGGCCATAACTTATTATATTCATCCTAGAGACTACAGTGACAAGTTAAGGTACCATCAGGTTTTTAAGAAAGACAATTGCAATTTTTGCAGGAAAAAAAAAAAAAATATTTTCCAGAAATAGTATTTCTATTAGGGAGGAATTCAAATGTAGCTTGTCTCAGTTATTTCAGATCAGAATCAAAATATTTAATTAAAAAAAAAAAAAAAGAGTAGGGCTTCTAATACAACAGAAGAGCATCCAAATTTAAGAACCCAGAATCTTGGTTTTGCCATCCACAAAGAATTTCTAACTTGGAATAGAAAAATGCCCAGTGATGAATGGAAATGTGATTTTTGCAAGAGCTATTCACCGGACAAAGATGCCCAAGAATTGATAATAATTTACAGCCAAAGGGGGTTGCTGATAGTTAAGACTTTACAACTCTGTACTTCAGAAAGTGAGTTCAGCAGTAACAGGAAGGAAAAAAAGAGCAGCATTGCAGTGGACCTTCACACAAAACCACCTGCAGTGGACATTATCACATAACCACTTCCATAATCCTGAAATCTTTTGAGATTTGTGATTTAGGTTCAACATAACATTAACAGATCTTTGCTCCCTCTACTTTTAAGTGAATATTTTTCCAAAACCCACAAGAAACTTGATGGTCACAAAAGCTTCAAACAATTATTTTGGTGGAATGCGATGGGGGTAGAAAGTTATTGCTAAGTAAGAAATTCTAGGTATCCCTTTGATTTATCCTGTTAAAAAAAAAATCACACATTACAGGTGAATATCACTCTTCATAGCCAATTATAAACAAGTTTACCTGACCAACTTAGCAAACAGACCCCCAGAGAAGAACAGGAGGAGGGCAAGTTCCTTCAAGCAGAGATATTGAAAGAAGAAAGAACAATCTATTGAGAAAGAGGAAAATGGAGACATACACAGAAACAGTTGGCTGAGAGGTAAACAAAAGATTAGTTTTACATTATCTAAAGATGCAACTTCAAAGAAAGAGACCAAAATCTGGAGGCAGATTCTGTTTTGGTTTTCAGTGCTGGTGATTAAATACAGGAACCACAATGACTTTTATTGGTTCTATATTCATGTCCATATGGACACAGTCTCCATGTAGCTACCAGTAAATACTGACGTTAGGGAAAACACTGCAAATTTCAAGTTCCTCTTCAGAACAAATAGGAGTGTGAACTGAGAAAGCGTCTGTAAGGCTACTCCTTTTATAAAGGGCAAGTGGACTGGCAGAAAAATGCTGCACAAGGATATGGGAAGAAACTGGTTCTTTAATAAAATCCCAATGTTGAATCATTAACACCACACCATTCTTCAGTATGGACACCTACATCTCCAGTTCCTCATCCTTACCCTTCCACACCCCACAGTTACCTGTTTCTGCTCCTTCCCACATACACACTGCTGCTTCCCACACTCCCAGCTCATTACTTTGACAGCATTTTCTGCTATGATTCTTGCTGAAGTAATGAGCATGCTAAAGGGCCTTCATTACAAGTGACATTTAGGCTCTTAAAGGATTAAAGTATTTCAGCTGTGTTTAAAAATATACTTATTATTATAAGGCTAGTACCAGAGCACAAGTGTTTCATCCAAGATCTATGGCTGGATATAATTTTATAATTTCTAAATTAATGGTAGGCCACTCACAGGCAGTAAATTCTCCACCAGAGAAGTGCTTCTTTAAGCACTGTTTTTTTAGAACATCCCTAAGCTTCAAGGTAAGAATTGCCCTGTTTCATCTCCCCCTTTTTCTGATACCCAGGAATCGACAGCCAGAGGGCCTCTGTGAGCTTCCAAGACAGGGCATGCAGGAAGGTTCCTCCAAAGACCATCAGCTAGTTGAGGAAGCGCCATCACCAACCCTACCCCAGGAGAGGACCCAGCTACCAAAGAGGCAGTTGTGGCAGGTTTACTTACAGAAGGTTTTGGAGCAGGTGATTTGTTGCTCTCCGGGGTCTTGGTTAACCACTCATTGATACGACTGGAGACACCAACCTTCAGTCCAGCAGTTTCCTGCAAAATAATGAATTCTAATCAGAAGACTTTCAGAATAGCTTTTGCTACGTTTTCCACAGTTTGGATTTAAAAACAAAGCCAAGCTTGAGTTTAATATAGAGGTCCTCACTTAGACTATGGCTAGCTAGCTGTGTGCTCTGAAGACACTGTCCCTATGAACTACACAGTACTACCACCCTCTTGTTTTCAATAATGACAAATGTGGGCTGACAAAATCATTTGCACTTCAGTGCCAACCCAGAAACAAACGTTACACATAAACCTGCTGTTTCTTCCATAACTCCAAATTCCAAGGAGAAAAAACCTTTAGCCTAAAAGAAGAAGAGACACCGGTCTAAATCTATATTTTTGTTTTGCTAAACTAATTTTTTTTTTCAAAAAAAGTACATAATAGAGAAGTAAAGTGGCCTAAAATTTAAATCATTAGAATAAATCTTTAAAAGGTTGGAACAAATTACTGAAATTTCATGGCTATCTGTAATAACCCCCTGCAATCCATGGCTCATTATTTTGGCTATGACAAATGCTCATCAACTCACATCAATTTATAAAATGTTGCCTTAGGCATTTACATAGAAAAGATAAAGGTCTCACAAATGCTTCTATATTCTATTATCTATAAAACACCATGATTATCCTGCACATTTAATCCTCCTCTGCCCCCCAAAAGAATCTTTCCCAACACAAAGAATTTCTTTGTACTCCGCTTGAACTACCGACATATATTTGTCTTAGATATCTGATGTGGCTCTGGAATCTCTCATAACCTAACTCAGTATGTCACTAAATTCTTCCTTTATACTCAGTATTGCAGCCACACAATTTTGTGGGTTTCTAAGGACCTCAAGATCTATTCTTCACCAGTGATGTCACCAGGAACAGCCAGGCTTACTCACAGGAACATGAATGGCAAGGTCAGGTCCATAACATTATTCTTTGTAATCGCTATATAAAATTAAACACATACCTTATTTGGTGTTCCTGTCCCAGACGGTGATGAAAAAACATTCCCTTTCTCCCACATGCTCTTAATATTACGGACACCCTCGGCTGGAACGGGAAGGTCAGAGGGTGCTGGCTTAGCTGGTCTCGCAGCCTTTGTGCCCTGCAGAAGAATGGAGGCCAGTCAGTGTTTGGCATTAAGAGCTGGAGTTGCAGGGTAGTTTGACCCTGGAGCAGTGCTGGGGAATCCAGCAGCTGTAAGAGGTTCTAGCAATGACCATACAAAGACGGAAAGAAGTACCAAAGTGAAGAGATGCCACTGAGGCTTCCCCCTTTTTGATTTGCAGTTACATCCTTGATGCGACCGACTATGAAAAGTGTAGTCACTTAGATTTTTGCCTTTGTTAAGTTTCAAAAGCTCCTGGCAAACCGTAGTTCTGCACACAACTGCTCCAGAGCTTTCATTTGTCCTCTTCCAAGTATTAGCACCTGCATCCCAGAAGCATGGCTCTTTCAGGGACACACCTAAGGAAATCCTTATGCGGCAGCAGGGGATAAAGGTTGCTCTGTCATTCAGCATCAGACTCTGCTCCTTCTGTACCAGACAATTTAATCTCACAACTTTGGATTCTAGAGATAAATTTCAGCAATTACCATATATTTGCAATGAGGTGTTTTCTTAAAGAGTGGGGGATTGGGGAATTGTTTGGGGTTTTTTTGTTTGGGTTTTTTGTTTGTTTGTTTGGTTGGTTGGTTTGGTTTTTTTGGTAGTCTTTTGCATGGTTATCAAAAACACTGGACCAAACTCCTCCTGCTTCTTTTTTGCAAAATTCTTGTACATTTTACATAACACTGATTGGAGGAGAATAAGAACCTGTACAAGCTGAGGATTTGCCTCTGTAGTGGCAAAGCAAGTCAGATTTGGCAATCTTGAAAAATCAGAAACTTAGCAAAGGAATCATTTCAGGTCAGATGGGAGCTGTATATAGCTGTTAAGCTATACTGCCTTCCCCTTGCCGTAGTCACTTTTTAATATCTATATGTAGCAAAAAACCTCAGGACTTTAGCAAAGCTCTACTGAAAATATGGGAGAACCTAATATAAGCTGGGGGGGGAGGGGGGGGGGGTGGCCCAAGGGGGGGGGGCTGGTCCAGTGTTTATAGAATCCTTTAGGTTGGAAAAGACCTTTAAGATAGTCAAGCCCAACCATTAACCCAGCACTGCCAAATTCAGCACTAAGCCCTGTCCCTAAGCACCACATCTACACATCTCTTCAACACCTCCAGGGACGGTGACTCCGCCACCTCCCTGAGCAGCCCATTCCAGTGCCTTATAACCCTTTTGGTGAAGACATTTTTCCTTATACCTGATTTAACCATCCCCTAGAACAACTTGAGGTCATTTCCTCTTGTCCTATCACTTGTTACTGAGAAGACACTGAAACCCACCTCTCTAAAATCTCCTTTCAGGTAGCTGTAGCCTCCTCTTCTCCAGGCTAAATGCCCCCAGTTCTCTCAGCTGCTTCTCACAGGACTTGTGCTCCAGACCCTTCCCCGGACACACTCCAGCACCTCAGTGCTTTTCTTGAGTGAGGGGCCCAAAACTGAACACAGGATTCAAGGTGTAGCTTCACCAGTGCAGGAGAACAATCACTTCCCTAGTTCTGCTGGCCACACTGTTCCTGATAAAGGCCAGGATACC